TCCAAGGCCAAATTTGCCTGTTACTCCAGGTGTTTCTTGACTTCCTACTTTTGCATTCCAGTCCCCTATAATGAAAAGGACATCTTTTGGGGGTGTTAGTTCTGGAGGGTCTTGTAGGTCTTCATAGAACTGTTCAGCTTCAGCTTTTTTGGTGTTACTGGTCAGGGCATAGACTTGAATTACTGTGATATTGAGTGGTTTGCCCTGGAAACGAACAGAGATCATTCTGTTGTTTTTGAGATTGCATCCAAGTACTGCATTTCAGACTCTTTTGTTGACTATGATGGCTACTCCATTTCTTCTAAGGGATTCCTGCCCACAGTAGTAGATATAATGATCATCTGAGTTAAATTCACCCATTCTAGTCCATCTTAGTTCTCTGATTTCTAGAATGTCAATGTTCACTCTTGTCATCTCCTGTTTGACCACTTCCAATTTGCCTTGATCCATAGACCGAACATTCCAGGTTCCTATGCAATATTGCTCTTTACAGCATTGAATCTTGGTTCTATCACCAGTCCCATTCACAAGTGGGTGTTTTTGCTTTGGCTCCATCCCTTTATTCTTTCTGGAGTTGTTTTTCCACTGATCTCCAGTAGTATATTGGGCACCTACTGACCTAGGAAGTTCCTCTTTCATTGTCCTATCTTTTTGCCTTTTTATACTGTTCATGGGGTTCTCAAGGCAAGAAGACTGAAGTGATTTTCCAGTCCCTTCTCCAGTGGACCACATTCTGTCAGACCTCTCCACCATGATCGGTCTGTCTTGGGTGGCCCCATACAGCATGGCTTAGTTTCATTGAGTTAGACAAGGCTGTGGTCCATGTGATCAGATTGGCTAGTTGTCCATGACTGTAGTTTCAGTCTGTCTGCCCACTGATCCCCTCTTTCAGTGCCTACCGTCTTACCTGGGTTTCTGTTACCTCAGACGTGGGTCTCTCTTCACGGCTGCTCCAGCGAAGCGCAGCCCCTGCTACTTACCTCGGACGTGGGGGAGCTCCTCTCAGCCACCGACCCTTCCCTCAGGTGCGGGGTAGCCCGTCTCAGCCACGGGGTGGCCCCTCTCGGCCACCGCCCCTTCCCTCAGTTGCGGGGTGGCCCCTCTCCGGCCACCGTCCCTTCCCTCAGGTGTGGGGTAGCCTGTCTCAGCCACGGGGTGGCCCCTCTCGGCTGCTGCCCCTTCCCTCAGGTGCAGGGTAGCCTGTCTCAGCCACGGGGTGGCCCCTCTCAGCCACCGCCCCTTCCCTCAGGTGCAGGGTAGCTCCTATTGGCTGCCTCCCCTGATCTTGGGCGTTGGGTAGCTCCTGTTAGCCGCCGCCCCTGACCTCTGGCCAGGGGTAGCTCCTCTCTACACTACATTATCTATTCATTTGTTAATGGACACTTAGTTTTCTTTATTGTCTTTGCTGTTGTAAATAGTGCTGCTGTGAACATTTGGGTACATATATCTTTTTATATTATAGTTTTGTCTAAATACATACCCAGGAGTGGTATTGCTGGATCATGTGGCAACTCTTAGTTTTTTGATGATCTCCACAGTGGCTATACCAGTTTACATTCCCACCAACAGTGTAGGAGGGTTTCCTTTCCCCTTTCTAGTACTGTTTACTTGTGTATTCCTGAAATATCTTACTGATGACCTTGGTTACCTTCAGTGACATTGGTTGGCTAAGGGACAGAGATCAGTGTCCTTTTCTATTGCCTGAATTTTAAGCTCTGAGAAAGTATTACCTAGTCAAAAATGGATAAAATTTTAAAATATAAAACCACAAGCTGAAATTTTATTTTTGTAATTCTTGAAAGAGTATTATCTTTTAGTAGCCTTAGAATTCCAAGCTAAATTTTTCAAAAGTAGGAGGTTAAAAAGCATGTTGTTTTTTTCTGTTTTATTCCCATAGGGAGTGTGCAACAATCAATTAACCGCAAACAAAGCTGGAAGGGTTCTAAAGAATCCTTAGTTCCTCAGAGACATGGTCCACCACTAGGAGAAAGTGTAGCGTACCGTTCTGAAAGTCCCAGCTCACAGGCAGATGTAGGAAGACCTTTGTCAGGATCTGGTATCACAGCATTTACTCAAGCTCATCCTAGCAATGGACAGAGAGTGAACCCCCTGCCGCCTCCTCAAGTAAGGAGTGTCACTCCCCCACCACCTCCAAGAGGCCAGACTCCCCCTCCAAGAGGTACAACGCCGCCTCCCCCATCATGGGAACCAAACTCTCAAACAAAGCGCTACTCTGGGAACATGGACTACGTCATCTCCCGAATCTCTCCCGTTCCACCTGGAGCCTGGCAGGAGGGCTATCCTCCACCACCTCTTAACTCGTCCCCGATGAATCCTGCTAATCAGGGACAGAGAGGCATTAATGCTGTTCCTGTTGGCAGACAGCCAATCATCATGCAGAGTTCTAACAAATTTAATTTTCCACCCGGGAGACCTGGAATTCAGAATGGTAGCGGTCAGACTGATTTTATGATGCACCAGAATGTTGTCCCTGCTGGCGCTGTCAATCGGCAGCCACCCCCTCCATATCCTCTGACCCCAACTAATGGACAAAGCCCCTCTGCTTTACAAGCAGGGGGTTCTGCTGCTCCGTCGTCATACACAAATGGGAACATTCCTCAAGCTATGATGGTGCCAAACAGAAATAGTCATAACATGGAGCTTTATAACATTAATGTACCTGGACTGCAAACAACTTGGCCTCAGTCATCATCTGCTCCTGCCCAGTCATCCCCAAGCAGCGGACATGAAATCCCTCCTTGGCAGCCTAACATACCAGTGAGGTCAAATTCTTTTAATAACCCATTAGGAAACAGAACAAGTCATTCTGCTAATTCTCAACCTTCGGCTACAACAGTCACTGCTATTACACCAGCTCCCATTCAACAGCCTGTGAAAAGTATACGTGTATTGAAACCAGAGCTGCAGACTGCTTTAGCACCTACACACCCTTCTTGGATACCACAGCCCGTTCAGAGTGTTCAACCTAGTCCTTTTCCTGAGAGTACCTCTTCAAATATGACCGTTATGCCACCTGTTGCTGAAGCTCCAAACTATCAAGGTCCACCACCACCTTATCCCAAGCATCTGCTACACCAGAACCCATCTGTTCCTCCATATGAATCAGTCAGTAAGTCTAGCAAAGAGGATCAGCCAAACTTGCCTAAGGAAGATGAGAGTGAAAAAAGTTATGACAATGTTGATACTGGAGATAAAGAAAAGAAACAGATTACCACTTCACCTATCACCGTTAGGAAAAACAAGAAAGATGAAGAGCGAAGGGAATCTCGTATTCAAAGTTATTCTCCTCAGGCATTTAAATTCTTCATGGAGCAACATGTAGAAAATGTGCTCAAATCTCATCAGCAACGTCTACATCGTAAAAAACAATTAGAGAATGAAATGATGCGGGTAAAACTTTTTTATATTATTATCTTTTATTTTTATTGGAATGCAGTTGATTTACAATGTTGTGTTAGTTTCAGTTGTACAACAGAGTGAATCAGTTATTCATATTCATACGACCAGTCTTTTTTAGATTCTTTTCCCATGTAGGCCATTGTGGAATATTGAGTAGAGTTCCATGTGCTCCACAGTAGGCCTGTTTTTGTTCTCTGTGTAATATATAATAGTGTGTCTATGTCAGCTCCAGTCTCCCAGTTTATTCCTTACCCTGCTGGTAACAGTAAGTTTGTTTTCTACATCTATAACTTTAGATCTGTTTTGTAAATAAGTCCATTTGTAGCATTGTTTTTTATTCCACATATAAGCAACATTATATTTGTCTTTCTTTTTCTGACTGACTTCACTCTGTATGACAGTCTCTAGGTCCATCCATGTTGCTGCAAATGGCATTGTTTCATTCCTTTTACGGCTGAGTATAAATATAAAACCTTTCAAATTTTCTGTTTTTATACTTGATCATGCATTTGCTTGGTGTTTCTTTTAAAATACTGTGGTCTAGTATTTTTCTTCTTATGCTAAATGTGTTATCATTTAAAAGTCAGTAAATAATACTTTAGATTATACCATTTTATTTTAGCATTTCAGAATTTACTCAGACTTTTCTATAATAAAATTGTAATAAATTAAGTAAAGTATAATTTGCCGTATGCAGTTTAGGTATACATAATCCCTTTAATGGAAACTGAAGCAAGAGTTATTTTCTAGAGTTTATATATTATCTTGCATTTTAAAATAAACCAGAAATATCTGAGCCTTATTTCTTGATAAAGTTATGAAACATTTATTTTTAATTATAGTTGTTTTGGGGCTTAGGGGTTTATTCATCAGGCTGGTCTTATTAAAAGTGTCAGAGACATCTCCTTTCAGTTATTTCCCTTTCTAATTTTATTTTTTTAATGTACTAGAAAAATGTCCTGAAATTATTAAAATCTACTAAAAAGGAGATCAGAATAATTAGACACTTTAGATTAATATCTGTTGTGATTCCATGTAACTCTCTTCATTAGATACTACGGTGGTACTGTTGTTACTTTTATCACATGTTTACAGTCAGAGGTTTGACTCCCAGTCTTACATCTACTGCCCCAAATCCAAGAGGCTCATTTGTGTTAAAGTTTCTCATGACATTTGAGAGAGCTGTTCTTTTAAAATGATTTTTCTGGATCGGACTTCACGGTATAGTTACTCTTGCTATAAACTGAATTTTATTGTGAGAAATACCATAATAACGTATATGGCTTATCCGTATTTAGCTCTTAGGATTTCTTACTAAAGTCTGTCTGTATGTATTTTCTTAGTTTATTTTTCCTTTTTCCTCTTCACTTTCACTAATAGCTGATTTAAACTTTTATGGTGTTGGAAGCTTTGCTGACTTCTGTAGCCTCCATTACTGTGTAGGCAAGTAAGATTTTAAGAGAAACAGTTGTTTACTAAGTCTGGCATGCCACCCTTCTTAAAAGATTTTGCATGTAAATGCTTATTCTAACAGAAGCATGAGGTTGCTGTATTTTAATTAGTCTTGCAATTCTAGAGTTCTTTACTTTTCAAAACAAATTCCTTTTCTATTTAGATTCTTAAATTAATCCTTTATTAACTAGTCATAAATAGACTGTTCTTTCCTTCTAAATCCAGGTATTCCATGTCTACTTAGACACTGGTTTTTGGTTTTTGTTTTTATCTGGGTTTTTTTTTTTTGTATCTTCACAAGTCACACTGACTCTTCTTTGAAATGTTCCAAAATATCTAAAAGATACCTTATAATCAAGCAAGTAGTCCCTTTGAAATAAGGTAGGACATACTCTGTGCATTTTGTGTTAGTGATGGCTGTGAGTCCTACCCTTTCTCTAATGCCCTGAAAAAGATAAAAGGAAAGACTGATTAGTGAGTGGGTAGATTAGAAAAGATATTCTTTTGTTCTTAATACATCAGTTTTTTAGAATAAATGAACCTGGAGTGAAGAATTTCTTTTCATGAAGACCAAAATGAGAATATTTGAGACATGGGCATTCCACAAGTAGATGCATATAATGAAAGCAATCTGATAATGTAGTTTGGGATGAATATGCAGGGAGAGGTAGATGAGGGTGCATGTTAACGTGTTTGGTGATTGCACATTGGGAACTCTTTTTTAGTGCATTAGAGAGGAGTAGAAAGCTGACTGTTGATAGCATTTTCTCTTTGCTCTCCACAGCAGACTCTGCGTATGTATTCACCTTGTGTGTCCTGTTAACTATCCCTTATGCTGCACTTTTGATGATTAATTTTCTCTGAAATATATTCTAGATTTCTAACATGCTTTATTAAAAATTATTATGCATTTAACCTTTAAATATATGCCTGAACTTTTCCCAAGCAATTTCTTAATATTTAGTATAGAAGATAATTCCTCATTTAATACTTAGTTTATTTGCCTAGGTTGGATTATCTCAAGATGCCCAAGATCAAATGAGAAAGATGCTTTGCCAAAAAGAGTCTAATTACATCCGTCTTAAGAGGGCTAAAATGGACAAGTCTATGTTTGTGAAGATAAAGACATTAGGAATAGGAGCATTTGGTGAAGTCTGTCTAGCAAGAAAAGTAGATACCAAGGCTTTGTATGCAACAAAAACTCTTCGAAAGAAAGATGTTCTGCTTCGAAATCAAGTTGCTCACGTCAAAGCTGAGAGAGATATCCTGGCTGAAGCTGACAACGAATGGGTAGTTCGTCTTTATTATTCATTCCAAGACAAAGACAATTTATACTTTGTAATGGACTATATTCCTGGGGGTGATATGATGAGCCTATTAATTAGAATGGGCATCTTTCCAGAAAATCTGGCACGATTCTACATAGCAGAACTTACCTGTGCAGTTGAAAGTGTTCATAAAATGGGTTTTATTCATAGAGATATTAAACCTGATAACATTTTGATTGATCGTGATGGTCATATTAAATTGACTGACTTCGGCCTCTGCACTGGCTTCAGATGGACACATGACTCTAAGTACTACCAGAGTGGTGAGTAAAATCATAAAA